ACTGTAATCTGATGGATAAAACAACTTCATTCTAGAAGACTGACATTCAGTGGAGTACTAACAATGTTGTAATTAATGCTAATATTATTATTTTATTTTTAATTCAATTCTCTTATCTTCAGTTGCCTCAGTTGCCTGTAAAGTTATCAGTTAAAGCATAAGGACCTTCAAAGAGAACAAATTAGATCATTTCTTCTCTTTCTTGAAAGCTGGTTTTTTTTTTTTTTCATCGCTCTCCTGCTTTGGGAGGTTTGTGGTCCTTGTTTCTGTCTGAGCAGAAACATTGCCTGTTTCCTGTTGCCCATCTTTTGCCTGCTCTAAGTGACTGGTTAAGTCATCTGCTCCTTTGTCAAGCCCCAGCTCCTTCCCACTTATTTCTTGTTTTCAGCCTCTTCCTGAGCCATCTTTTCCTTGCATTCATCTCTTGCTTTGATTCTTTGATGAAGGCGTGGTGGGACGGGATCTGTCCAGCACGAACGCCGTGCTGAGTGAGGTTCCATATTCTGGGTTCCTCTGTGTACTGCACTCATGCAGACTCCAGCTGACCCACCCCTGTCACCCTTGAAGTTCAGGTAGGCCTTTTTAACATCAGCCAGCCCTTCGTCAGAACCTTTGTATGTCTTTTCAAAACCTTGGACACCCTCCTCCAGGACGCATCGCAGTCCCAGGTTGGGTGGAGCACAGCAGAGTCCTTGTCCACTGTCTCCTCATTGTGCTCTGCTCTCAAGTCTTTGTCGCTTAAAATGGAGTAGGCGTTCCTGAGGACCTGGAAGGGGCACCCTTGCCCGCCAAGTCTGGGCACCTGTCAGGGCACCTTGTGGTAGCTGTGCCGGACAAGTTCAAGACTGCACGCAGACCCACGCAGGGTGTGGGTACGGAGGGAACTACAGGTCAAATTGGAGACTTTTTGAGGGAAGGGAATTTGTTCGTCTCTCTCAGCCTGTGGCACAGACTCCTGTTCACACCAAGTTCATATAGGTAGTTAATGAGGATAATGTTTTTTTGAAAGTTAAGTTATAAGTTGAGAAGAGACGTTAAAACTGAAACTGAAACAAAAATAGTCTGTGTAATATTTTATAATAAATATGGTTAGTCTTTTTGTTGAGCTGAAGAAAGAAATAGAATTGGGAAGGCAGACTTTACAAACTCAAAGCGAGAATCTCCTTAGAGGTTAAATTTTTGCATGGCTTTTCCTTCGTAGAGTAATAAAAAGTTCTTATAACTTTGATTGGCTCTTGGTTAACTTACGAGTGAAAATGATACTACACATTAAGATTTTTGACCATTATGTGTTTCACTGTAATCCAATCCAATATCCAGGACGACTTGAGTTAAGTGGGGTTGGTTTTGTTTGTTTGTTTTTGTTAGGGTACCTAAGAAGCAAAAAAAAAAAGAAGGAAAGAAAAAAGTATTTTATATTGATACCTAAGCATTTTCCCTGTCCCCTGGTTTTTTGAAATTTCTGGCTGGAGAGTCTCTGTTAGGGTGGATACATGTACCAAGTACGTAGTAACTGCCATAGAAGACCAGTGAAAAGTCGTTGTCATTTCAGTTCTTTCCATGAGATTTTTGAATGGTCTTCTGTGGATTGAAAAAAAAAAAAAGCCCATAAACATACTTTTAGAAAGAATGCAATTAGCTATGCTATGAATTCAGTTTTTTTAAGAGGAAGTTTTGGCTGTTTTTGCGTATTTGCGTATTTTTGGCTATCTCAAATAACATACCTAGTAGTTGGTCCTCAGTGTGCATTGATTTCCTGAGTCAATGAGGATAATTTCTCTTTAGGGTCCTGATGAAGAAGCTGTTGTGGATCTTGGCAAAACCAGCTCAACTGTGAACACCAAGTTTGAAAAAGAAGAACTGGAAAGTAAGTTTGTTGAAAATAACTTACAATTAGCAGGATAAACTACTAATGAATGTTTGCTGGCGTCCTTTAATTTTCACCTGTTACTTGTTGAAACATTTGTTGTTATTGTGAGGTAGAGCATACATTTAGAAGACTGTTCTCTTCTAAATGTAGTTGAAAGAATAATAATACAGCAAAACCCCATGTAACCACTCCCCGCTACAAATAGAACATTCTCTGAAACGTAGACTTCTTTTCAATTCATTTCAAGAATGCTTTTCACACTTCACTGATGGTTATCATTACTTGCCTTGAAAATTAAAATGCCACAGTTACAAAATCAGCTAATTCTTTAATTTTTTTTTTTTTTATTTCTAGCAGCCTTGGCCATTTGAATTATGAGCACACCGTAGACTAATGAGCCACAATTTTCACTGGTTGTCACCTAAATGTTCACTTTATGTAGGTCTGTTACATCAGTCTTTTAAAATGTTGTAAAAACCTCAGCATAGAATTGTGTAGCAGATGAGTTATTTATCAGTCTGCCTTCCCTGAGCAGGAGGAAGCCCTGACATACGGTTTCTTTTTTCTTCCTCTTTTTTAAAATTTGAAATAATTTTCGATTTACAGAAAAGGTGGCTGTATACCCTTCCCCCAGCTTTTTCTAACACTAACATTTTATTTAACCATAAGTTTGTAAACACGACAAAATTAACATTGGTACAGTACTGCAGATTTATTCAGATATTACCCGTTTTTCCACTGCTGCTCCTTGTCTGTTCCCGGATCCTGTTGAGCAGCTCAGGATGCCACAGGGTACTTACATGTCATGTCTCTTTAGTCTCCTCTAACCTATGACAGTTTCTAGGTCTTTCCCCATTTTTCATGACCTTGACTCTTTTGAAGATTAGTGGTTAGACACTTTGTAGAAGGTCCCAAAATTCGGGTTTGTCTGAATTATCACATTGTGACATTACAGTCTCATGCCCCGGCTCATGGATTTGTGGGAAGCATCCCACAGAGCGCCGTGCCCTTCGTGTATTGGGGACAGGTGGTGGCTGCATGGCTCACCATCGGTGATGCTGACCATGAGCACTTGGTGAAGGCCGTGTTCACTGCAGACGTTTTGACAGACTCATCTTGGGGTCTCTTTGAGACCTACATTTTGAAGTTCAGCTCTCCTGTGACAGCTGAACGGGGCCATCGGTTTACAAATGGAGAAGGAAAGAAACACAAATAAGCGTTCTCCACATTTACTTTGTGAGGTGGAAAAAAACCCCTGTCCGTTGAAATTGGCTTTAAAAGTTTAGGCTTCCTAGGGCTTCTGCAAAGAACTTCAGTTACCTGGAAGCTTGATTCTGTGAATTGTAGACGTTAGAGAAGGTAACATTTTTAGCAATAATTTTATTAATTCAAATGTGCACGTAATCCCTCCCTTGCCATTTAATGTCATCCCTCAGATGAATGGGACCCAGGGCACCAAGAGGGACCGTGATCTTTGGCTTCCTTTGGTTACCCCAGGGCCCTTGGCTTCTCATACTTCGGACATAACACGTTTCAGTATCAAGTTTGAGGGACAGATTAAGTTTATCTCAGAGTGAGACTGAATCGGCCTTTGATGGAATAAATTAAGGTGAAAGAATGAGCAGAAATGGTGACAGAGCAGTAAAGGAAGTAGTACAGCAGAATAAATAATGAGGCTCCATCTCCCAGTCTTTGGATTCTAGCATGTTGCTCATTTTATCTAGTCTTTCTAAACGTCAGCCTCGGAGAACTTATTTTTGTCTTGCTGCGTAGGGGCTCTTGTGCCAAAACCCATTAGTACTTATTGGAATAACAACCTTGTAACTCAGTGCACAGGGATTCTTTAATCCACCGTTGGTTGGTGTTCAGAAGAAAATTCCACTAAAATAAAATTGTGAGATCCCTGAGTTTTGTTATAGTTTTTTTTTAACTTACTGAGATATAATTCACATAATGTAAAATTCACTTTTTTAAAGTATTTTTAAGGATATGCACTATATTGTGCAACCATCATCACTCTCTCCTTCCAGAATATTTCCATCATTCCCCCCCCAAATTCTCTGTAATTGTCTTTTTAATTTAATTTTCTATTGAAATGTAATTGACCCACAGCACTGTGGTAGTTCGAGGTCCACAACCTAGTGATTTCATATTTCTATTCATTACAAAATGATCACCACGGTAAGTCTGATTACCATCTGTCATCGTGCAAAGTTACTACAGTTGTAATCGTGGTTTTTAATTTGGGATTTTCTGGTAAATTTTTTCCAAATCATTGGTATGTAATTTTTACAGTTCTTTGTCTAGTGCTGTACTGTAGGCAGGAAACTAGGTATTGGGAAATGTCCAAACAAATAATTTTAAGTCAGTGTGTTTACATAGGTCTAGTCTTCTTTTAGTTTTTAAAAGGTGAGTAAAATAAATAAATAAATAAACAAACAAATAAATAAATAAATAAATGGTGAGTATTTAGTTATCAACGTTACTATTTTGGCAACTAAAGCTAGAAGTCAGTGTCACCTTTTTCAGCCTTAGCTGGGAATGTGTGCGTCAGGCAGCTCAAATTTTTTGCTGCTGTGTGCATGTTTGTAAATGATGGTAAGTCACCATGAGTATTGCTTTTGGAATTACTAGTAAATTTTAGCAAGTCAGCAAATGTGCAAATATGGAGTCCGTGAATAATGAGGACTGACTAATTTCAGTTCTCATCTGCAGATAAAGCTCTGGAGTTTATTGTGGTATTTTGTTCTAACCATCGTACAGAATTTCTTAGGAAAAGAACGTCATGACCAGTTCATGTTTCAGCATTAACTTTTTAATGTTGTACACAGGGCAAAAAGCAGCTCTATGCTGGATGGTTTTTCCACAGTTGCAAGTTAGTTAAACCTGTAGTCTACCTCCCTTTTCACTCAACGCGGGTTTAGGTATGAACCTCATTTAAACTATTTAAGAAATCAAATTCATGCTTCTCAGTGTTTGACGTAGTGCCCCTAGCTACCTGCTTCCCTGACTCAGTTTCACTCAGTGGGCAAAAAGCAGGGACTGCCTTTCATAACTGTTTTGTCCATCAGAATACAAAACCAGGATAACGCAGCATCAGCAGTGGCTCTTTCTATTGTAAAAGTATATAATAACCCTACTGTATTGCTTTCTTAATCCAGTCTTTAATTAGAGTATTTGGAGCATTTACGTTTAATGTACCTCTCATTAATTTGGACCTTGCTAATTTGAGATTTTTAAAACTTTAAACAAATTTAAAATATTTCTAAATATCCATTTATGAATAGTCATCATTAAAACATGTATCTTAAGGACCTCTACTAACTAGGGTTGGCCATAAATGTAGATGGGACACATTTATGTCTACATAGTATAATTCCAGGTGGGCCAACTTCTTCTCAAAATATCTTTTGAGACTTGCAGACTAATACTTATAGGAGTCACCTGTATATTTAGTGTATTTATCAGTGGGATTGGTCCTTGGCGTAACGTTCTGTGTAGTGCTCTGTGACGTAAGAGAAGTAACGGGAGACTAGCCGTGTTAATTATGTGAACGTAGCTGTAATTCTTTTTTATCAAAGCAAACTTTGGTATACTTTTGTGTGTATCACTCCCCCCACCCCTTTTTGGGAAAACTAGTGCTGGTCATACACAGGGACACTCCAGGTTTGGTTCCAGACCACTGGAGTAAAGTGGCTATTGCAATAAAGCAAGTCACATGAATTTTGTTTGTTTGTTTCTTAGTGCATATAAAGGTTATATTCACACTATAGTGTATTAAGTGTGCAATAGCATTATGTCTTAAAAAAAACAATGTACATGCCTTAACTGAAAAATACGTCATTGCTGAAAAATGATGACCATCATCTGAGGTTTTGGTGAGTCATAATCCCTTTGCTGGTGGAAGGTCTGGCCTGGATGTGTTGATGCTGCTCACTGATGAGCATGATGGCTGCTGAAGGTCAGGGTGAATTTCGTAGAATAAGACAACAATGAAGTTTGCTTCATTAGTTGACGCTTTCTTTCATGACCAGTTTCTCTGTAGCACACAACACTGTTTGATAGCATTTGACACACAGTAGATCTTCTTTCAAAATTGGAGTCCATCCTCTCAGACCCTGCCTCTGCTTTGTCAACTAAGTTTATGCAGTATTCTCATTCCTTTGTTGTCATTTTAACAGTTTTCACAGCACCTTCACTGGAGTAGATTGCATCTCAAGAAACCACTTCCTTTGCTCATCAGTAAGAAGCAGCTCCTCCTCTGTTCAAGTTCTATAGACCCTGAGATAGTAGGAGTTCAGCCCCATCTTCAGGCTCCACGTCTGACTCTAGTTCTCTTGCTGTTCCCGCCACATCTCCGGTGACTTCCTCTACTGAAATCTTGACCCCCTCAAGGTCATCCATGAGGGTTGGAATCAGCGTCTTCTAAAATCCTACTAATGTTGGTGTTTTGCCCACTTGTCATGAATCAGCAGTGTTCTTTGTGGCATCTGGGAAGGAATAGGTAAATCCCTTCCAGTAGGCTTTCAGTTGGCTTCTCCTAGATCCATCAATGGAATCACCATCTATGGCAGCAATGGACTTAGAAAATGTATTTCTTAAACAATAAAACTTGAAAGTTGATATGACTCCGTGGTCCACGAGCTGCCATTTGGATGTAGTGTTAGCAGGCATGAAAACAGCATTCATCTCTTTGTATCTCTCCATCAGAGCTCTTGGGTGACCAGGCGCCTTGTCAGTGAGCAGCAATAGTTTGAAAGTAATCTTTTTTTCAGAGTGGTAGATCTTAACAGTGGGCTTAAAATATTTAGTAAACCATGTTGTCAGCAAATGTACCCTCATGCAGGCTTTCTCCTATAATGGAGAAGAATCTGAAGCTGTGCGCCTGAAGCTGACACCATATTGTAAATGAACTCTAGTTCAATTAAGTAAATAAGAGAAAAATGTACATATATAGAGAACAGCAGAGTAGACTGAGCATAATTCTTAGAGGCCGTAGGATTTTCAGATGGTAAATGATCGTTGGCTTCAAGTTCAAGTCACCAGCTGCCTTGGCCCCTAACGAGACAGTCAGCCTGTCCTTTGAAGCTCGGAAGCCAGGCGTTGACTTCTCTCCAGCTGTGAAGTCCTTGGCAGCATCTTCTCCCAGTAGAAGGCGTGTTGCCTGTCTTCTGTCCAGACCACTGAAGCTTTCTCCGTACCACAAGTAAGGCTGTGCCTCACTTTCTTGCCATTTGTGTGTTCGCCGGAGCAAGCGCTTTTCGTTTACTTCAAGAACTTTGTCTTTGCCTTCGCAGCTTGGCTCACTGACACAAGGGCCCGGCCCTCAGCCTTTCTTGGCCAGAAACGTTCCTTCCTCACTAAGTTTAATTGTTTCTTGCTTTTGGGTTAAGTGAGAGTTGTGTGACTCTTCTTTTCACTTGAACACTTGGAAGTCATTGTAGGGTTATTAACGGACCTAATTTCAGTGTTGCTGTGTCTCAGGGAAGAGGGAGGCCCAGGGAGAGGGGGAGAGACAGGGACCAGCTGACCAAGTTCACCATCTGATATGGGCGTGGCTTGTGGTGCCCCTAAACAGTCACAACAGTAACATCAAAATCACAGATCACCCTAACAAAGATAATAATAATGGAAATGAAATGTTGTGAGAATTGCTATCAAAATGTGACACAGGGACAGCATGTGAGCAAATGGATTTTGAGAAAATGGTGCGATACACTTGGCTCGACTCAAGATTGCCACTAACCTTCAATTTGTAAAGAAACACAGTACCCCTGGCATGCCAGTCACGTGCTCAACCATTTTACCAGGTCATCGAGCTGTGTATATCGGCGTTCACGTCCCGTTCGGTAAAGAGGGTCGCCGGCGTCACAGGCACCGCGGACACAGACATCACCACCGGAGAAGGAGAGACAAGGACTCGGATAGAGAAGATGGAAGGGAGTCTCCTTCTTATGGTAAGAAGAGTGGGAAGTCCTCCATTACAGGCTGGAGTTCTTCTCTGGAAAGGTTTTAAAATTTTAATTAAATGCTTCCTTTTAAAAATTGTATTTCTGTAATAATTTAGACACATTGTATGTGTTGAAGAATACTAATTGAAGTAATAGTATTATTTCTGCAGGAAAAATGCTGAGTTTGTAAGTTAAGATCTACTCGAGATGAGTGAAAAAAAGTCAGGGGTTTTGCTTTCTTCATTGTATTCCAGCCTTGGAGCTGTAAATGTTGAGTCCTGGCACTTAAAATTCAGTTTAGGAGGGTTTTATTTCTTTTCTCTATTATATGTGTCATTGTTTACATGGGCAGTGAGCAAATACCTGGAGTCTTCAGGCTCCTGGAAGAGACTGAAAATTGCTTTCATTTTTAAATAATTCTTGGCCAGAAGGTTATATCCATGAAGCTGGATCGCTTGGTTATCTGTGCAAAGAAGAGTGCTCAGACTTGATAGTATTGTCTTTAGGAGGACAAGATTTTTGTTTGGAAGCAGAGCAATAAAGAAGTGCCAGTAGGCAGAGGAAATCAGAAAGGAAAAACAGCATACAGCAGAGGAAAGAGAACATCATCTTATAATAAAGATCGATACTGATTTAAGTGGCCCTGAGAGTGGGAAAGGCAAGAGCCAGAAGAAACAGCTGTGCAGCATGAGCAGGACTGTCAAGACGCTGCACTGGTGGACATGCAGGGCGTTGCCGGTTCTTCAGGACGCCGTGACCCGCGTAGGTCCTAGTGTGTCCTAGTGTGTGCATTTTAGAGAAGCCGTGTGAGCTGCACTCCCACCGGCACTTAATGTGCTGTGCTAAAGGAAAGTTTTTGTGGAGAGGTAGAGAGGGAGGGAATTATTGTTAAAATGACAGCTTGTGTCACGATCATAAGAAAGAAAGGACCGATGGCCTAGTAAGACATTAAGAGCCACTTCCGTGCTGAGCATTCCACCAAGCCCTTGACATATGCTCTTTGATTGAATTTCCTCAGCATTTTTTTTTAAACGCTAAGTATTACTATTTTCATCATATAAATGGAGAAACTTCAGTTTAGAGAGGGCTAAATCATGGAAACCTCTTAGCCGCTCCAAAGAGATGCTGACGGCCTAGCAGGCTATAAGTGGTCACATAGCTAACAAAGATCTGCCACAAGCAAAGGCAACATCAACACTAGTTTTGGAAAAGGTCACTAGTGAACTCTGATGACGTGAAGTAATTTTAGAGAAGTGTTTTGCTGTTCTGTATGGTGCCTCTATCCAGTTTAGGATATCTGGTGTTATTTTGTGAGTGGGTCAGTGTGCTTCTCTATTTTATTTGGAATAAAAGGCACACAATAGTTTTATAGACGTGCTACTTACTAAAGTATAAATATGTCTGTATGTTCACCTGGCTATGTGGTTTAATGGTTCAAGCTTAGGTCTGACATCTTGAAGTCTGAATCTAGTGGTTTGAGGAATACTGATGGTGGAGAAAATATCTGTGACTTTTTCATGGATTAGTGATGCCTAGAAAAGTTCGCTGCCACAGAAGTGGGCTTATTTTGGTTTTAACTCCCAATCTGTGTCCTGGAAATTGCTGTGAATGAAGCCCCTTCTTTCCTTCTCCCCATTCTCTAAAAAGAGATTACACAGATCTTTTGCTTCTGCACATGATGGAATAACAGAAATTGAATTTTCTGTCCAATTTTAAACAGAAAACTGGGCAAAATATGTGAGAAACCATAATTTTCAGACATTACATAACAGGCAGCATGGGACTCTGACCTCTGAGCGAGGGAGAGGAAGTGAGATGACTACTGTGATGGCCTGAGCTGTTTCCTTGAGACGGTTTCCAGGCCAGCATGAGGAGCCTGGCCAGAGCCTCGCAGGCTCTCAGAGTAGAGGAGACAGAGACTGGAACTTGGGGAGGCCTACGAGGTAAGACTTGGAGATGTAAAGTGCCAGAGAGTAGAGAGCGACACACAGAGTGTTCCACAGGTCTGAGGAAGGGCCCTGGAAGTTGTTTGGCTGAGTACTAGTCTGCGTACGTGTGACAGGAAATTACCTGAGGCTTGATAAACAGCCACCAGGAAGCAGTGGGCTGAACAGTTCCTGGATTTCACACAAGACTGGGAACAGGATATGTTCCCACCAGTCAGTGGAAACACATTGTGACCTACAGGGCATTAAGTAGAGTTCTTAGAAGGGTGTTGCCTTAGAACTGGGTCTAAATTAGTTTTACCCTAAAGGCTGCAGTAGATCTACTGTAAAAAAAATGTTAAAAGTGGGTCTTGAAAGAATTAAATTGATTTCAAGTATTTGTATGCTGGACCAAAGTATAGTACTGGTAAAAGAAATACAGTAAAATCTTGCTCTTAACCATGTGAAATGCACAGTATCTGACATGCACAAGTTATTTGAAATATAATGAAGTAGGAAAAAATAAACATAACCAAGAGAAAAATAAATCCATAGAAACAGATCCAGCAATGACAGCTGATGGAATTAGAAAACAAGTGTGTTAAAGCAATATAATAAATATATTTATATGTTCAAGAGGAGAGAGGAAAATAAGACTGTGATGAGAGAAATTGAAAGTGTACAAAAGTCCCAAATGGAACTTCTGCAGAAGAAAAATACACTATCTAAAATGAACAATACACTAGATAAGATTAACAAATGACTTAACACTGCAGGAAAAAAAAAGATCAGTGATTTTTGAAGATACAGTGATAGAAACTAGTCAGAATGAAACAGAAAAAAAGCCTGAAAATGAATAAACAGCATCAGTAATTTGTAGGATAATATCAGATAGTCTAAAGTATGTATAATTGGAGTGCCAGAAAGGAGGGTGGCAGAAGAAATATTTGAAGAAATAATAGTTGAAAAAATTTCCAAATATAATGAAAACGCTGAACTCACAGGTCCAAGTAGTTCAGCAAAACTCAAGAAAAAGAAACTTGAAGACAAACTGCACAAAGTCAATTAAAAAATCAAAAATTATCTTGCTGAAACTGAGATGTAACAGTCCTAAAAGTATATGCATGTGATAATAGCTTCAAAATATGTGAAGCAAAAACTGATAAAACTGAAAAGAGAAATTTCTCCACAAGTATAGTCAGAGATTGCAACTCTCCTTTCTCAATAATGGATTGAACAAGTAAACAAAAAATCAATAAGGATATATTTGGATACATATACACACCACATCTTCTTTATCCATTCATCTAAATACTACTCAGCCATAAAAAAGAATGAAATTTTGCCATTTGTAGCCACATGGGTGGACTTGGGGGGTATTATGCTTAGTGAAACATCAGACAGAGACAAATACTGCATGATATCTGTTATATGAGGAATCTAAAAAAATAAAACAAACTAGTGAATATAACAAAAAAGAAGCAGATGGACAGAACAGACCAGTCGTTACCACTGGGGAAAGGGTGGGGGGGAGGGGCAAGATAGGGGTAGGGGATTAAAAGGTACAAACTACTAAAAATAAAATAAGTAAACTACAAGTATATATTGTACAGCACAGAGAATATAGCCAGTACCTTATAATAACTAAATGGAGTATAACCTTTAAAAATTGTGACTCACTATGTTGTACATTGGAAACTTATACATCAACTATATCTCAATAAAAAATAGAAAAAAATCAATAAGGATATAGAAGACCTAAATAACACTGTCAGTTGGATTGGCCATGTGCATAGAACATTTCCCCCAAGACCAACAGAAAATGCACATTCTTTACAAGTACATATTGAACATTTTCCAAGATAGATCATGTTCTAGGCCATAAAACAAGTCTTAGTATATTTTAAAAGACTGAAAGTATATTCTTTGCCCACAATAGAATTAAACTAGAAGGATATTAAGAAAAAAACCCAGATATTTGGAAATTAAATGAGAAGTTTCTCAATAACCCATGGGTGAAAGATGCAATCAGAACAGAAATTAGAAAATGTTTTGAACTCATGAAAATTGAAACAGGACAGGCAGTAATTGAGAGAAAGCCTTGCAAAGTGAGGACACAGTTCTAACGTGCACAGGTTTCATTTAATGTGCTGTGCAAAGCGAGGACTGCCTACATGCTGAAATTTATTAGGTGTAGCTAAAGCAGTGCTTAGAGAACAATTTATAGCATTTAATTCTTATATTAGAAAAGAAGAAAGGTCTGTAAGCAATGATTTAAGCTTCTCACTTAAGAAACTGAAGGAAAAAAATAGAGCAAATTAAACCAAAATAAGGAAAAGAAAGGAAACTATAGAAACCAAAGCAGAAGTGAAGAAAAAAATCAGAACAACAGTAGCGAAAATCAATCAGACTGAAATCTGGTTCTTCGAAAAGATCAATAAAATTGATAAATCTATATAGCTAGATAATCAGGTGAGGAAAAAATAGATACAAATGATCAGTATCAGATCGCTACAGCTGTATAGATGTATAGATGCTACAGCTATTAAAGACTACAGAGAGAATATTATGAATGACTTCTTGCCAACAAAATTGGTAATTCAGATTAAATGGGGAAGTTCTTTAAGAATGTATACTACTTAAGCAGAAATAGATAACCTGAAATATCTTATACATATAAAAAGAAGTTGAATTTGTAGTCTAAAGCATTCCCACAATGGAAATTTCCTCCCAGACGCCAGAAAATCGAAGATGAGGGAATACTTCTCCATTCATGTTATGAATCCAGCATTACCCTGATACCAAAACTTGATAAAGATGTTGGAGGAGAATAGAACTACACACTAATTATTTCTCATGAATGTAGATTCAGAAACCCTGACCAGCATAAAAACATCTCTTTTACCCAGCAGTATCTAAGAGGGATAATACATCATGGTGGTGGCCCCCAAGATGTCCATATTCTTGATGTCTGGAACCTTACTTGGCAAAAGTGGATTTACTTATTGGATTTCAGGATTTTGAGAAGGAGCGATTATGCTGGATTAGTGCAGGTGGGGCAGATTGCATCACAGGGAATCAGGTGATCAGAGATGAGATAGTGGTTGTAGTGAAATGATGGGGAGGGGTCCAGAACCAAGGGATGTAGGCAGGCCTCAGAAGCTAGAAAAGGTAAGAAAGTGGATTTT